TGTTCCAGTGCTTGACCACCCTCTTGGTACAGAAATGCCTGTCCGCTGTCATTGGGGAAGGGAGGACTGCCAGCAACCTTGTCCCTGCCAGCACCGTGGGTCCATGGTTCCCTGCACACCCTAGGCGGCACCCAGGGCCCTGTCGGGTGCTCCCCTGCCGTCCTCACATCCCAGTGGTGCCAGGAGCCCCTGGGGCATCACCAGAGTGGCATTCAGCCCTGCCAAAACTGCAGCCCCAGCACCAAGAGGTGGGGATGTGCCATGGGCCAGGGAGCTGTGCCAAACCTTTGCCAGGGCCTACTCCAGCTGCTGGCTGTGTTTACCCAGTGCCAGCCCAATGGGCTGATGCTCAGCCTGTGCAGGACCCTCCAACAGCTCCGGCCCCCTGGGAAGCCCCTGGCCCTGGGCAATGCCCCACCATGGTCCCATGACAGCAAAGGGCAGCCCAGCACCCTGACCCTGTCCTCGACCTGTATCAGGAGGTGCCACCGGGGTGGCCTTATACACTTTCTCCTCGTGGTGCTCGCCCATGGCTCAGGTGCCCTGGACAGACTTGCTGCACCCGGCCGGGGCCTTTGGGCACAGGGGTGCTGACCGTGTCCCACTGCAAGGGAAGGCTGTGCTCATGGGACTCTGGCTGACCCCCATCTTCTCCCCTCTCTCCTCTCCCTCTACAGGTTCCCTGGTCCAGGCAGCAGTGACTCAGCCGCCCTCGGTGTCGGTGAACCTGGGAGAAACCGTCCGGATCACCTGCTCGGGGCTTGATAGCAGCTATGCTTATGCTGGCTGGTACCAGCAGAAGGTCCCTGGCACTGCCCCTGTCACTGTCATCTACAACAACAACCAGAGACCCTCGGACATCCCTTCGTGATTCTCCGGATCCTTGTCTGGCACCACAGGCACGTTAACCATCACTGGGGTCCAAGCCGAGGACAAGGCTGTCTATTACTGTGGTGGCAGCGACGGCAGCAGTGCTGATCAGGGTGCCGAAGGCACTAAGTAGTGAGGAAGTGAGACAGACTCCAGAGTCTGAGAGGAAGGTTTTCAGCCCTTTCCCTCATGGCCGAGCAGAGGTGTGGCTGTGGAGCTGAGGCAGGATCATGACTGGGGATGTCCCCACTTCCATGCCCCAGGGCACTGCAGGCACTCAGGGCCTGGGGGTTGCTTTTCCCTGTCCCTACAGTAGGAATGGCATCACCTCATCCCCAGCCCTGCTGCCTTTTGCTCCTGGCAGCTCCATCGTCCTGCTGCTGCTGGAGCTGCCTCTGTCAGGATGCCCTGGGCCAGCCTGGGCTCAGCTCCGCAGAGGTTTCTCTGCCCGTGACCAGGTCCCTTTCACTCAGAAGGTGGTGTTCCTCTTGCCTGCTGCTGCCAGCTCTCCTTGCAGGGACATGGGTCTCTAGTCTTCAGCACTGTGTGTGGCACTGTTGTCCCTCTGTGCCCTTAGGAACTTTGAGCACAGGGGTCCCATCCCCCTGCCCAGGGAGGGCTGTGCTCCTGGGGCTCTGGCTGACCCCCATCTTCTCCCCTCTCTCCTCTCCCTCTCCAGGTTCCCTGGTCCAGGCAGCGCTGACTCAGCCGCCCTCGGTGTCGGCGAACCTGGGAGAAACCGTCCAGATCACCTGCTCGGGGGTTAGCAGCAGCTATGTTGGCTGGTACCAGCAGAAGGTCCCTGGCACTGCCCCTGTCACTGTCATCTATGATAGCACCAAGAGACCCTCAGACATCCCTTCGCGATTCTCTGGATCTGCATCTGGCACCACGGCCACATTAACCATCACTGGGGTCCAAGCCGAGGATGAGGCTGTCTACTACTGTGGTGGCAGGGACAGCAGCAGCAGTGGCTATGGTGTCCAGTGACAATGAGTAACAGAAAAAGAGACAGAGACTCCAGCATCAGAGGAATGTTTTCATCCCTTCTCCCTGACGGCTGAGTCAGGTTCCTGTCCCCTCTGCATGGCCATGACCATCAGTGTCCTCCCTTTCATGTCTGAGAGCACTGGAGGTGACTCTGTGTCTGGTGACCATTGTCCTTGTCCCTACAAAATTCACAGTGTGGCCTTGTCTGCCGCCCCACTGCCTTTTGCTTCTGTGACCTTCCCCGTCTCCCTGCCCAGGGAGGGCTGTGCTCATGGGGCTCTGGCTGACCCCCATCTTCTCCCCTCTCTCCTCTCCCTCTCCAGGTTCCCTGGTCCAGGCAGCGCTGACTCAGCCGCCCTCGGTGTCAGCGAACCTGAGAGAAACCGTCCAGATCACCTGCTCGGGGCTTAGCAGCAGCAGCAGGGCTTATGGCTGCCAGCAGAAGGTCCCTGGCACTGCCCCTGTCACTGTCATCTACGGTAGTACCAGCAGACCCTCAGGCATCCCTTCGCGATTCTCTGGAACCCGGTCCGGCTCCACGGCCACGTTAACCATCACTGGGGTCCAAGCCGAGGATGAGGCTGTCTATTACTGTGGTGGCAGGGACAGCAGCAGCAGTGGCTATGGTGTCCATTGACAATGAATAACAGAAAAAGAGACAGAGACTCCAATATCAGAGGGAGATTTTCATCCCTTCTACCCGATGGCTGAGCAGGGCTGTGGGGCTGAGGCAGGTGTGTGTCCCCTCTGCACATCTGTGACTGTGAATGTCCTCCCTTTCATGTTCCTTTGTCCCTACAAAACTGGTAGTGTGGCTTTGTCTGCCAGCCCGTTGCCTTTTGCTTCTGTGGGATTCCCTGTCCCCCTGCCCAGGGAGGGCTGTGCTGTGGGACTCTGGCTGACCCCCATCTTCTCCCCTCTCTCCTCTCCCTCTCCAGGTTCCCTGGTCCAGGCAGCGCTGACTCAGCCACCCTCAGTGTCGGCGAACCTGGAAGAAAACGTCCAGATCACCTGCTCGGGGATTGACAGCTACAGTGATGTTGGCTGGGACCAGCAGAAGGGGCCTGG